TTCTACATTAGGTTGGGCGTTGGTAAGTACTTATTGAGCAAAAATTTTGAAAGGACGTCTGATTTCCATTATCCCCGTCAGATGTTAATATTAGGGTGGTAGCTTTGAGAGCAGATTGTATGATTTTGTGTTTGTAGCTGCAGTGTGATTTGTTTGATGGTGACAGCCTCCCACTGAATAGTGTGATTGTTGCTTTTAACATGCTGGAAAGCAGCCGAGTTTTCCTCTCCACAACGTATCGCTCTCTGGTTTACGATGATTGTCGTAGTTACCATTCCGTCTGTTTGCCTGATGTATACTTGGTTGGAATCTTTGTATGGTACCTGGTAGACTTCTGGTGTGTCTTGTGTAACTGAATGCAAGTGTTTCTTGTAAAAGAAATTCCCTTGTTAGAGTAGAAATGATTATGTTGGTCACTGTGAAACTACCATCCTTCCCACCATCAAACCACCAGACGTGATCTGGTACAAATACGTTGATAATGTCTTTACCAACCTGGTAACAACCTGGCATCAGTTCCGACTGTAGTTTCAACAGTAGTTCAGAGAGTTTTTTTTATTAATGCCAATAGCAGTCCCAACTGTAATTTCTAGAGCATTGTCAACAGTAGTGTCAACATGGGTAATGCAACAACAACAGAGTAAGCTATTACTCAAAACGTATCGTTCAACCTTTGAGCGAAATAGTGTAAAAAAATACGCTCACCATCGAGAAAAAATATTGAGTAATTGACATGCCCATAGTGCGAAACATTATATAATAAAGCTCACTATTGAGCGAAACGTTGACTAAAGTAAAGATGTGTTATGTTTTTGCATTATCCTTCTTGTGGGCACTGTGTCTTCCCACCAGTGCCAACATGGGTCATTTGGCACCCCGGTTGCGCTTTCCTCTGCTTAGGTACCGAATTTACACCTCTGCTGATGTGACAGTCTCGACGAGCTCTGATGGAGAGGTGAAGGTGGGTAGGGAAGGTGATGGGGAGGGCGCTTAGAGAAGTTGAGGAGCAGGGAGAACAAGGAAGGTGATGGGAAGGTTGAGCATGATAGTTGAAGGGTAGGGGGTGAGGGAGAAGGTGAAGAGAAGGGTGGGCAGTGGTGGGAAGGGAACCGTAGACATGGAAGGCGAGGGAAAGAGAGCAAAGAAAAGAGAAAGGAAATAGGCAGTTGAAGTTGAACAGGAGTGGAAGAGGAGGGAGGGCAGGGGAGAGAAGGGCAAGAGGAAGTGCACAGGAAATTGATGCCTGGGTCTTTCTGATGAGGCGGTGAGTTGTGGCGATGCAGCTGCTGCTTGTATCCGTGACTCAGCACTCACTGCCACGGACAACAGTTTCTGGTGTATGTGAATTATATAGCATATGGGATTGAGTAAGTTGTACCCCTGTTTGCTGCTGATTTAAAGGTAATGATGAGACTAAAATCCGATAAAGACAAGGAGAGGCTATAGATGAATTTGGACAAGCCGCAAGATTAGTCAAATAAGTGGTTACCAGAATTAAGTTCCAGATGATGTAATGTTATGAAGACTGGAGAGAGGCAAGAAAACCGTACACAGAGCATGAACTCTCAGGACAGAGGCCGCGGACCTAGAGGTGAGAATAGAGTCAACAATATCTCCAGAGTCGCATATTAACTGAATAATCTCTGCAGCTGATGTTCATTTGGCAAATATAAGACCATCTTTCAAGAATATCTGTAAACAATCACTCAAGGACAAGATATGGCAATTCAGTCTTGAGGTATATATGCAGCACCAGCATGGAAGCCACGCCTGCTAGAAGCATGTTAAGACTGGAGGAACTGTAGGTGTATGCAACGAAGCCCATTCTCAAACGTCTGCGAATTGCTGACCATTCCAAAATCTCTTATGAAGTTCACTGCATGTGGCAGGATTTGATGAAATAACCTACCACGAGCCTGGTTCTCTGGGATATGGGCTACAATAACAAGGATTCGATCCCCGGCTAGCCGCAGTTTGTTACTGAATACCACTTGTTCGTGGTTGCATTACTATGAAGACTGCTTGCGAAGGCTGGTACATGTCTTAAAAAGTCTTCGAGGGTAGTTGGGAATATTTTGTTTTATCATAGAACTATAAGCCATTCCTTGCTCATATTAGTTTCGTCAATGGAAAATAGCAGTAAACTTTTCCATGCTGCTGATAGCTTTTGCAATTTCCACATCACTAACTATTTTAGAGGTTGCAGAACTTAGACAGGAATATAAAACAGTAGTTGTGTTCTTATCTAATGTTTCACCTGAGGTGTTGTTTCGTTATACGTCTCTTGCTTAAACTTGCAGTTTCCAAGAACCTATCGGCGACATTAAGTGAGGACTCACTGTACTAAGATTAAATAAAATGAATCCATTTAGTAGCTGAGTGTATATCATCAGAATTCCACGTGTCACACAGGTGTGAGAAGACTAGGTGTCAATGGATTAGGCACCATAATGACCCAGTGTCAATGAACCCGGTGTCAAAGGACAAGAGAGTGTTTCAGTATTGTGCAATTTGACCCCTAAAGATAATCTCTGCGTCTTATTCCACGCTGGAGACGCTTCATATACCCTGGTCCAAATTAACGGTGATAGCAAATCTTTCCAACAGTGCTTGACTCGCCTAGTGAACCCTTCAGAGTATGCATTACAGCGTTGAGAGTGAGTCCGAGCCATGTGTAATGCGGGAGGCATAACAAGGTTGGCAGCCTCGTCGCAGCAACCTACTATAAGATCTTATGACAACCTGATGACCAGCCAGTAGCAACGTTGTATTCAGGACAGTCATCTTACCCTCCAATGAGCTGATGCCGCGTCACATTATTTTTTATGACGTAGTCAGGCTCTTTACCAATGGCATTTGACGTGCTGTTACTTAAAGGTCATATATATATATATATACATATTTATAACCTTAGCTCATGTAATTGTGGCTTGCCACCCAGCTGAAAGTGACAATAAACTGTAAAAGGGAGATGAGTAGTGTCGGTGGAATGGAAGCTAGGGGTGAGGCGCCGTCTTGAGGGGAAAGGCAGATGGGAGAGAGTACTAGAATAGAGTATGAGGGTGACATTTAAGCCTTCACGGTAAATAATATACGAATACTGAGAGATGGTGATGGTCGTGCCGCCGGGACGTTCATGCAACAAACGTCTTATTATTTAATCTTCATATGATTAGCTATATAGAGTACTAAAAATGTCGTAGTCTCTTTTAGTTGTTGTTGTAAATAATTAGATTCTGTTACGATCGCTAACAATAATAAAATATGTTAAATTAATGACTACAGTATTACAAAGATAATTAATATGTTGCATATTATGTGTCATGATGTGACGATATTCTAGCTTGAATGTGTCTTTTTAAGTCTCTCTCTCTCTCTCTCTCTCTCTCTCTCTCTCTCTCTCTCTCTCTCACTCTCGATACATACATACATACATTCATATATACATGCATACATACATATTGAAGCATTGTAAATTAAATAAAGCCTGAAAAGGGAAAATGCTATTTAGATTGTTTTATGATTGTTTTATGCTCATCTTAACTATGTAAATTATGCTTTTAAGAAACACTTACTTGTGCCAGGAATAAAATGCATCTGCGGTTGTAAGAAACAGTATACGTTGATGCAGCATCAATAGCAACTATGGCTGTAACATGCACATACACACTTGCAGTTGTAACATGCATGGCGCTTGTTGCAGTAACAACGATAGTACCATAGTCACTTGCGCTTGCAACAAACATACTCTTGTTGCGACAACAAAATGATGATTCTGGTTGTGACATGTTGATTGGTAATTCTACACGTTTTGTTAAAGTTTATCATAAAATTAGTTACTACCTCTCAAACACATAATGTTCTATGTTTATATTATTCTCTATGTTGGAAAAAGTAAATAAGAGCGAACATACGTAATGTAATGTGTTGGCGCCCAGTTGATGCCATGGCGCATTTACACTCCCGTTTATCGTTGTATTTTTCCGCCCGTATTTCGAGACCATTACTCTTACCTGACTCCTCTTCCTCTGACCCCTCCCTGTATCTCTCTCTCTCTCTCTCTCTCTCTCTCTCTCTCTCTGTCTTAGCAGATGTAACTTTCATTGTCACTGATCAACACACCTGGGTATTTTCGGACGAAAAGTAATCAGGTTGACTCAGAAGATATTAACAAGTCCATGGACCTTATAAGAAGTACTTTTTTAAATTCCTCCACTCCTTACATCACCATTGGATTTTCTCACAGCATACCAGTGCATGTTGCATGTTCGTTTTGCCGTCCACCCAATCCGTTTTGCCTTATCAGTCCTCCTTGCCACACCAGTCTCTGACCCACGATCACATTAGCTACTGGGTTAAGCCCTGGTACTATCCCATCCACTCTTAATTCCTCTCACCAACCTACTCTTCCACTATGCCTACATCCCAGCTCACCCCACAAGGGTCTTACCTATACTCACTTGATCTTGCAGTGTTCTATTTATGTGGCCACTTTTCTCTAGCGATGAGGCCACCAGTGTAATGGCCTCTAGCACTGAGGCTTCCAGTGTGCTCACCTCCAGCTTTGAAACCAGCAGTGCTAACCTAGCATTGAGGCTTCCGATGTGCTGACATCTAGCACTCTGCTAACCTTGCCCATTTGTTTAAATTCATGTTAAGCGCTAAACCTATGTGGGTCAATCAACGCAAAACGTGGTAGAAGCTTGATCCTCCGTCTACTGAGAGGGAGACAGACGAACTTCCTACTTGTACTCACCTATATGTTGTGCTGTCCCTGCACTGAGGCCTGCAATGTGCTGACCATTAGTGTTTAGCCCTCAAATGTTGTGACTTATTGTGCGCCTACTTGAACCCACCATCATGTTGACGTCGCTCAAGTCCGGCAGCTGATTCAGCATAATACAAATTGGAATTTTTGATACGCCTTACCTATTTCTATTTTTTTAACATATTTCAAAAAAATCTGTGTTGTTAATCTAAAGGTTTAAAGAAAGATAAAGTTAATTCCAGAAGTTTATAAAGTGAAAGATGCATCACAATACTTCATTTCACAGTAATAGTTTGATAAAGAAACCAGTAACATGCAAAATAAGAGTAAGAATTTTAAAAGGACAATACATTGTGATTTTCTCCTCGTTGAAAAAGAAATGACCGTCCTTTTCAAGTGCTCTTTTTGACAAAGGTCGGTCACACCAGGATCTTCACACTACGGTTATGTTAATATAATAAATAAGTAGCTCTTCAGCCTTCAGATACATAGATGTGTTCAGTTTTGGATAAGAAATAGAAATAAAATTGGAATTAGTGTCATTATTTAGAAGAATATTCCATTCAATTCTTCTCGTTAGACACATTTTTTTGGAACTCTTAAATTTATAAGGAATTCTTCGCCAAAACGCGCTGTGTAGCCCTTGTGGTTTAGCGCTTCTTTTATTATAATAATAATCTTCGCCAAAACCACAACCTCTGGTCCAGTCACCTCATGACTCAACCCTCCTTAACAAAAAAAAAACTTTTAGTAATACATGCAACTAGTTTTACAAAAAAAAATGTGAATTTATTGGAATTAACATTTTTTTAATATTTTGAAATCCATGGTGGATTATGATTCTTGCCACAAATAAATGATATTTGCAATATCTGGAAATTTCTTCCATTATACCAGGATTCCAGTTGTGTCTTTCTCGGGTTTAGGAAGTTTTTTAAGTGTGGATGTGGCAGAGGGCTTGTCTATATCACTGAGGATAAGTACAGGCAGCGTGCCAGTAGCTGACGCTTCTTGTACGGATGACCCAGCTAGTACCGGTCCCGTCACCAGTTCCATGGATTCCCGAACTGCCCGACGAGCAGACTCACACAAAGTAGACGATGACGTGGTTGGTGAGAGAGGAAACTGACTCATGGACTGTGAGGGAGATAGCGGCAATGTTTGGTCCACTATGGGCCTCTCCTCTGGAACTGACATAAGAGATTCCTGACGCGGTAGTCGACCTTCTTCGGGTACAACCCCTAAGGAATGCTGTCGTTGTAAAGGGAAGATCGGTCCAGAGTTTTGACGTTGGAGTGGAATATTTGGTGAAGAGTTTTGGCGACTAATAGCAAATACGCCAGGACGCTTTGTTGGTGGTGGACTGACAACTGTACTGTCTTCAGGAACAGTAGTCATGGAACCCTGTCGTGCGAGAGGACCAGGCGTCGATCCCGGCTGATGCAGTGACGAAACTGACAATGATTCCGAGAAACATGGGGATTCCTCTAATGGTGAAAGGGCTGAAGATGAACGAGGAAACGGACTAGGTGAAGTGGGTGACTCTGGTGATGAAGCGTTGGATATTGACTGTTCTCCATGCTGATGGTCTCGCTTTAATGGCAACGCCCGAGGACGGTGGGTGGGACCAGTATAAGAGACAGTTGGTAAGGAAGATGACTTGCCCAGAGAGAAGTTCAAGGAACTTTTCATGGAAACCTCAGTGGAGGAACACTTAATGGCTGAGACAGAATCTTTATCTTGCAATACTTCAGGTTGGTTCAACAGTTCATGACTGTTGTCGTCGGCCATAGGAATGTCATCCAAAGATATCTGTGATATTAAGTGCTCTGAGTCTTTTGCTTTGTGTAGATTAGCCTTCTTATCGTTACTCTGAAGCCTTGCCTTTCGTTCCTTTCTATCTATGCTGCTTGTATCTTTTCTCTCTGTATTGCTTCTCTTGTCTTTGTTCTTCCTATCAATGCTGCCCATGTCTGTACTGTTGCGCTTCCTTTCTTTGTTATGTTTCGATTCCTGTTTGTCTTTTCTTTCTAAGGAACTCTGGTGCTTGTCGTCTTTTTTGTCTTTTTTGTCTTTAAAGTTCTGATGACCATCATCTTTTTTCTTTTTGTCTGAATTCATTGAGGTTATGTCCGTTCCTTCATTTTTTGTCTTTTCTTTGTTTTTTTGATCAGCAAATGAGACAGATTTAGAAAAAGAATGTCTGTTAGTTAGTCCTGAGATGATACTTGATGGTTTAGCAAACAGAGACTGATACCCCGTCGACTTTCCTGTGCTAGCAGCCGGGGCACTGCCTGAGGACTTCCCTACGGTGCTTCCCGAGGATCCTGTCGAGCTTCCCACAGAGACCCTCGGACTAGCTGTAGAAGTTGTAGAGGAGCTGGCGTTGTCCGTCTTTGCAGAAGATATTGCTGGAAGCTGAACTGCTGGGGCCTCTTCTACTGTTCTTGAGGCCTTCTGTTCACGAGAGAATTTCCCGGTAGTTGTCTTGTTGCCTTGATCCTGTGCCTTCGGGTTATGGCTCTCACCACTTGTGCTTCTGCTTCTGCTGCTGCTGTTACTGCTAGCCTTCATCTGAGGAGGAGCGGTGGCTTCGAAGGTCTGCACCTGGGCTACAGTATCTCGAGACTCCCGGAGACTTTCCAGTAAAAGTTTTACCTCTGCCACCAATTCGTCGTATTCCTTCTTACTCTTCTGTTGCTCCTGCCTGGCTCTCTCAGCATCTCTCAGCGCCAGGTTGGCTGCGTGTTGTACCCTCTCAGCTTCCTGCAGGTCAGATAAGGAACAAGTTAAAACATAAAATGTTGATTTCACATAAATTTAACTGTATTATTACAGCAGTTTACTTATTTTGAAGTAATTTCTTAAATGCCAAAATAAATTTATTGTCTTTCTTAATCTTATGAATACAGTAGGTGTTAATGAATTTGACTCACCTGTAATCCTTATAGGCTGCATAATATTAAAGCTTTTTTGTTAGGCCTTCATAAAGCACAATTAATGAAATGCCAATTATTCTGGAGTATTATATAATGAAAAGATTGTTAGGGAAACTTATTATTTAGTTTTATAATTTACAATAATATAAGATTTTAATTACAACTTCAGAGTAAAATTATGCATCAGTTACGTATTTATTATTAAAATAAGAAGTTAATTATTTAATTAAATTATATTAATAATATAAAAGTGTTTAAAGGTAATACTTATTAGGAAAAAAATTAGTAAAAATGTATGAGAGTAAAGCACTAAATAAAGCGGAATTTCGTTGACTACAATAAGCAAAAAAAAAAAACTTTAGTAATTATATGTACCAACACTTTGATATATGTACCGAAACCGGTACATACATGTACCGAGATAGGTACATACTGTATATGTACCAGTACTGGTACATACATGCATCAACACTGATACATATATTTACCAACACTGACACACAGATATGCACCAACACTGACACACACATATGCACCAACACTGATACATTCATGTACCAGCAATGATAAATGTACCAACGCTCAAATACATATATATGTTCCAACACTCTGGCTACATCACTAATTAGTGGAATTAGTGAGAAAGAGCATGTGCAGTATACAACGAAATAAAGGAGTCCAAGATTACACGTGAAAGCTATTTCATTCCGTTTTGACAACTACTGTACAAGCAACTTGTTTCTCTCCAGAGGCTCTTACTTTCACTGGCTCTTTAAAGTCTGCTCTGCTCTAGAAGGGAAGACATCGACTTGTTATCACATGGAAGTCAATATGCTTAAGTTAAACGTAAAGACAAACCATAAAATAATCAGTTTAAAAAGTAATATTATCTGTGATGAAAGTGTGTGGCAAACAAATTATACATATATATATATATTATATATATATATATATATATATATATATATATATATATATATATATATATATATATATATATATATATATATATATATATATATATATATATATATGTCGTGCCGAATAGGCAGAACTTGCGATCTTGGCTTAAATAGCAATGTTCATCTTGCTATATAGGACAAGTGAAAATTTGTGTATGTAATAATTTCGCCAAAATCATTCTGAGCCTAACGAAAAAAATATGTTTCACTGTGTTTGTTTAGTATTAAATTATTGTAAACAAATCTAAAATATATTTAGTTGGGTTAGGCTAAAATAAATTGTTCTTGTTATAATAAGGTTAGGTAAGTTTTCTAAGATTCTTTTGGTACAAAATTAAAAATTTTTACATTAACATTAATGAAAAAATATATCTTTAAACGCATAAGAGAAAATTTTAGGAAGGACTTAATTTTAAATGAGTTCTTGCTAATTGGCCAGTTTTACATATTCGGCACGACATATATATATATATATATATATATATATATATATATATATATATATATATATATATATATATATATATATATATATATAAATACATACATACAGAGAAGTACATGCCGTAGTAACACTAATAATTAATATAACTTACGCTTAAAGAATAAATAAACATAATTAGAATAATGTAGAAAAAAATATAATGCAGAGAGGCAAAATAGATCATGAAAGCATAAAGCAAATGGAATCAAAAGGAAGAAGAACCGAAACATAAAATAGGGGATGAAAGAGGAAAATATGATGACGGTGCTCCCATGAATGGGGTTTCGTGACGCCTCTGAGGGGTTCCTGATCCAAGGAATTGGGTCTGATTTCTCCTTCGTTGGATCGACCCTGATTGCCTGCCAGTTCCCCAGGAGCTGTGTGACCCTCAAGGGCTAACCTCCTGCCATTCCCAGAGATCTTGTAATACTTAAAATATAAGTGAAAGAGCTGAAAGCACAATTAGGGTGATGGAGGAATGTAAGCATAATTAAGATGGAGGAATGTAAGAATAATTAAGATGGAGGAATGTAAGCATAATTAAGATGGAGGAATGAAGGCATAATAAACATGGAGGAATGTAAGCATAATTAAGATGGAGGAATGTAAGCATAATGAAAGTGATGGAGAAGGGAAACGACTCCTATAATGCCCCTTCAGATTGTGCCTTGACATTTGTGAAGGGCTCTTGATCCAAAGAGCTGGAGTTACCTTCCTTTTCCTTGGATCAACCATGATTACCTCCATTTCCCAAACGTTGTATGACTCTCATGGGTTTACCACTTCCCGTGGTCATAGCGTAATTATTCCCCTGTTTGAGAGTAGGAGATAAATCACGAGGCAGAGAATAAGATAATAGTGTATTGAACATGACTGTAAACATGTAATTAGATAACACTAACATAAAACATGACATTAAACATGTAATTAGATAACACTAACGTAAAATATTCTCATTCAAACGACTTATTGTTCACAAACCGTGAAATGAGATGCGGTACAGAGAGGTCTAGTGGAAAATGTTTGATGTTGGCCTTGTTATGTCCAACGTTGATGGGATGGCTGTATTCTTTTATATAATGAGGAGAGTTTTCATGCATAGTAGGAAATACTAAGTAGTAAGAAGGCAAATGACTGCCGTCAGCTAGAAGGAAAATGGACACGAATGCACACACACACATGGAATCAAATTTGAGGCCACACTGGTGCAGTGTGGCGTCGTAAACACTGGTCTACAAATTTTGATCAATTTTACGGTTCGGAGGAAAAAAACATTTTACTTTACGGTTTTTCTGGGATGCTCAAAGTGAATATGACCTCGACAAGAATCAACTGGATATAGGAAACTGTATATATCGTTTAATCAATTACAGATAGTAGGTTAGAATCAAGAGCCTTTCCTCTGCGCTGTATATTCACTCTCCTACCTTTCCAGCCGGAAGGTAAACTGTACTTGTATCCATATCTTTATAAAATAAAGCTAATTTGACATTTTCATCACCAATTTGTAAAGAATGACTATACACAAATAACCCGCACATAAAAGAATGAAACTTAACACATTTCGGTCTGGCTTGGACCATTTACTATTTGTGTAATAAAAGGCACGGTATTGTGCCTTTTTTGTTCTTTAAAGAATGGATAGTTTTATTCCAAAGCATGTTTGCTGTAGACCAGTGCGATCGCTACATCTAACACCATCATTCAGAAAGATGTCAGAAATAACATTTCCACAATCTTAGCCCCTAGCACTGCTACATGACACAACCATAAGATAAACCATTCTCCACTACGAGCGCCCTCTACCCGACTACCACTGCCACTCTCTCCAGCCACTGTATGTAGCCTGTATTCTCCCATTCTTCTCATGTATTTTAAGTTATCAAAATCCCAGGACTGACACATCTTCAATGAAAGTGTCCCAGGTAAAAGCATTCGTGTCCTCTTCAGTTTAGGAAATATTAATTTGGTGGGTTAACACGTATAGATATTTTATTGGAGTAGTTTACATTTAAGTTTATATCAAGACGAATGAGATATTAACATGGAGATTTTCGCAAGTGAGGGGAAATTATATTATTAAGGGTTTTAAAAGAGTAACTAGTCATTATGTTAATGGATGATACTAAGTAACACCTGGTAGACATAAGGTGATTAATATGAGAAGGTTACTACCAGAGGAACGACAGGAGAAGTTTACAGATTTACAACACTGCAGAAGTAAACATAAATGAATATATAAGAATAAAGACATGTTTGCAACCCTTAGGTCATTTTATTATGAGACGTTTCGCCCCCAGTGGTGGAAGCGTTTTCTAATAAAATGTCCTAAGAGTTGCACATGGGTCTTCCCACAGTTTGTCGGGACTGATATACCTGTTACTTGTACTAGTGCATTTAGCTGCATCATAGACACATAACACAGTAAACTTTGTATGTCACGATGCATCGTTTTCAGTATAACTCTGTCAAACATCGTCAAATAAAAGGTTTACTCAGTTTCTGTGTCTTTTATTCATCACTTATCGGCTTCTGCCCAAGTTTGGTGCGGTGTGGCTGTACCTCTCAATGTATGGTCAGGATCACCAGCAAGCAGCCTCACAGGTCAGAAACAGGGCCACAATTTGGCAGGCTGTGGATCGAACCTCCCTACCCCTGTGCTGAATGGCTCACACAGTTTACCGCTTCATGAGATAGAAGTGGCACCAAAACCAATGTCCAATGCTCCATATATCATTAAGAAAATGGGCTACACCTATTATTGGTGCCCCCAAAACATTAGTGATAACTCTATTACTAGCAAAATCTAAAAATATTATTAGTTATCATACCCCATAGAAAAAGTCTTACCTATTACTAATGGTCTGAATCTCTAGGAGGAGACATCACCTTTACTGATGGCCCTACTCAAAATAAATTACAATATCTACTATACCTATTAATAGTCACCCAACTTGTTTGTGGATATCCTATTCATTAGTAGTTACCCTATCCACTATTAGCAATGGACAGCTCTCACAGGTTTGGTTATTTAAAATGCTTGAAAACTAAAAATTGCAAATAAATAAATAATGGTATAAGACGTTGCTGCCTCTTATTAGCAATACCTGTGGATACCCCAACAGTGAATAGCCACACTCAGAGCTGGGCGGCCAAACTTGATGGTAACATCATCCTAAATCATTACTGAAGTTTCTAAAGGTAGTTCTAATATATTTTAGCCTTACATACATTAGTGATGTTATGCAATTGATGTGAACCTTTTATATATTGGAAGTGAAGTTGTACTGTGTTTCATTCACAGATCTTTCACCTTAAACAATATTTGTAAATTCTCGTTATCCCGGCTGTAGTCTGTCTTCTCTCTCTCTCTCTAATTTCCAAGTACTTTTTAAAAGGGTTGTGTGTGCTTGTATTTATTTTCATATATTTGTGTTTTTTTTTTGTATTTACAGGAGAAAAACAATGCTGTGTCCAGTCGTATCTATTGGTATTTTCATTTAAACATTCTTCCCAGGATGCGAGTCGTTCAACATCTAGACATGTATGTACTGGCAGGTGAACAGGAACAGTACAGGTTAGATTTGTTTCTATGTCTGGCCTCGCATATTTTACCATCCTTAATAAAAAAGTCAGTACAATAATACACAAGTATCGAAAGGCCAACAACTACCAAAATTCCAGAAGAAAGCAAGCAAGAAACTGAATTTGAATTTTTTTTATAAAACTGAATTTCAAATCAGCATTTTAAAAATATTATTAAAACCTTTCCAATGTGAAGGGAACTTTAGCTATGTTTAAATTTAATAATCAATAAGAGTCAGAAAATAATTAATGTGGAATGCACCGAGTATGTTACATTTTGTTCGACATTCGTCACACAACCAGTGAGTTGGCAGTTCGGGGTGTAGCAGTTCTGGGGCTCCTCTGTTGCGATTATTGTCCCCTTAAGGAAGGTTCCTTGATGCTGGTGAGGGGCTCATGATCTAGGGAACTGGATCTGTGCTCCAGTTCTCTGAATCATGTATAATCCTACGGGTTTAGCGCTTCCCTTTGATTATAATAATAATGCGCTTATTGTCCAGTTCAATTCACCAATTACGTGGACATTGGCTACTTCAGCTAAGATGACGTCACTCCTGCCCACCTGGCTAAGTGGCAGACTTCCGCTTGGGCTGGTTGTGACTACTCATGCCTTGAGTGGATTTTAGTTGCAATATTATTACTCTGATATCTCGATATATTAACTATGTTCATAGTGTAAATAAGTAGTGAAGGAATATATGGGTTAAGAAATCTACCCTTGTCGTGTTTGCCTTCCTCATACTCTTCCTGTTGATTCC